ATCATCTGCTTGTACCTTTATCTCCCCTGTGCTTGTCCGGTACGCGTGCGATCTCCCTGCTCTTTCTATCAATGGCATGGCACCTCCCGCCACACTCCGCGAGTACATGTTGCCTTTCTCGATTATTGACGCTAGGGGTGAATTCAAAACTTGATAGATTCAAAAATCAACTCACGCTCTTTCACATAGCCGCCGGTGGAGTCGAACCACCTCGTCCCTAAAACGCGATGATTGTTGACCATTGGGTGAGGGCGAGCTTCCTTGCTCTACGCGGACTTACACTCACCTTAGGCTGTTGATGGCAAGAGTGCAAGTACTGGGCGTGAATGAGCATCACAGTGAGTTGAGGATCGTCTGTTCAAAAAAAAAAGGATTGGCAGACCTGAATGGCTGCGGGTGGATTTGAACCATTGCCTCACGCCGAATTACCACGCATTGGGTGAGGGTGAGCTTCTTTGTGCGACGCGGTCTCGGAATGGTACAGTGCCCGTCGGCACTTCCTTGCAACCCACGTGCTGACTTCCCAATTGAGAATTTCGCCTCCAGATTAAAATTTTGAAGACAAACCTGGCCAAAAGAATGTGAATGGCACATAGTTTGAAAATGCTTATGTAATCGGTCATTTTTTCGGTCCTCGGACTCAAAATTTCGAAAATTTACTGCTGTTTCAAGGGATCTCAGTGCATTGAATGAGGTCCAAATACACAATAGAGAGCAAAACTCGGTGAATTACACCGAAGGCGGTCCGCTACGGCAGGATTTGGGGTGCTGACTAAGCAAATGCTGACAAATCGGTCATTTTCTTTGGCTCGACAAGTAACTTTTTTTCAAAACTTTAGCTACAACTTAGCCCTTTACAAGCCAGATACCTACGATCATTCTGAGTCGATTCCCGCTGTTTTCATCAAAATCAGTTGATTTCCCCGACTGCTGAATCATTTCCTAATTTGGACCAGTCACACACCCAAACGGGTAGTCACGAAGTGCCGACGGGCACTGTATTGTTGAGCGCGGGTAGGCGTTGCGCTGGATTTGTTGCATGCACGGTGCGCATTGAGCAATCATTGAGCTTTGCGGCGGTTTTCTTGATCCTCATCTTGTTCCTTTTAAATTTCCCGCTCCGAACAACAGAACACCAAGAACAGGTAGAGGCGTTTTTTGCAAAAAGAAAAAGACGCGGTAGATCCACTGTACGGCCGCAGGTGGGGTCGAACCACCATCTCCCTCAAACTCACACCTGTGATCAGGAACGATTCGGTGAGGGCGAGCGTCCATGCTCTACGCGGACTTATACTTTGATAGCACAAACATCAGAGTCGAGAAGTTGCAGCCCTCTGTTCTTGCGGGGGGAAAAAACAGCTTTGGCTTATCAGCTCGTATGACCGTGTGTGGAATCGAACCACCTCCTCCCTCAAACTCAGAACATCTTGAATGAATGATTGGGCGAGGCCGAGCTTCCGTGCTCTACGCAGACTTAGTCTCACCCAGGCTGTTGATAGTAAGATTGCAAGGGTGTCAGACTCGACTGGTTATCGCTCACCGTCGAGTTCAGGATTATGTGTTGCAAAGGAAAAAGTTGGCCGCTATCATCGTGTGAATCCGAATCACCGTCTCCCTCAAACGAAGAATCGTGAGAACAGATGAGGGTGAGCTTCCGAGCTCCACGCGGAATCTGAAAATCGGGTGAAATCAAGTAACTTTAAACTGATGCCAGGGGTGCCAGCAGAAAAAATGTTTCCGCATACCATCAAATGGCCCCGTGTGGAATCGAACCACCGTCTCCCCCGAATTGGTATACAAAGACCTTATTTGATGAGGGCGAGCTTCAGTGCTCTGCGAGGACTTATGGGACTCAGAGAAGGGGCTGAATAACTCATTGTCGCACAACGGTCTTCTCGTGAGTTGCCCACTTTCTTGCCAGACGAAAAGACGGGCATATCACTGCGTAAGGCTGCGGTTGGGTTCGAACCACCCTCCCTCACCCCTTCCTAACTCACAGTGTGGAGAGGCCGATGATCATGAGAGGTGAGGGTGTCGTCCGAGTCCGCGGATAATTGTCCAATGTCCAAAAAATGTTCCAGCGATCAACAAGGCTCCGGGCCTGAGGTACACCACCATTTCCCGTGGACTGGAAAATCCCAGGATTCGGTAGGCCACCCGATGCGATAGTCGATCGTTATTCCCAATTCCCATAATCCCTCAGGTCGAACGAAAGAAAAATCTGTCCTTGTTCGGTCCTATGCCGTCGGGAAGAATCGAACCCCCGCACCCCCTGATAGTGATTGGGGCTGGCCTCCGTGCCCTACGATGGGTTGGTCAACTTCTCTTTGCTGTACTATAAGAATAAGATTATACATTCACCGGCTGACCGAGCGGGTCCAGGCTTTTGAGTATATCTACATGTACCGAAATTTTCTCCGCCAATGCGGCATATTGTGAATACTTAAACACGCCTCACAATCACCGAGCCAAGTAGACCAGCGGGGAGGAAAAATATGAAAGCAACAACATCATGATCCATGCGGCTGCCGCCGCGGGGAATCGAACCCAATTTACTCCTGTTCAAATTTAGCAACTGTACCATACATTGATGAGAAGGGTGGACTCCACCACGACGGCTTGTCCTACCTATTTAAACAACTACCATCTGAGATTTGTCCTTCATTCCCTAATGGTGAAACAACACCTCTAATCGGACAATCAAGAAAAAAAAATGGAAAATAATCGCGCCTGCTGCCCCACGTGCACATTTAAGCATGAACGGGATCATGATAATGGTTGGTGGGTGGCCTCGCATACTAATGAGATCGGCATTGACCGACCTGGACACGGTTAGTTTTTGATCCGCGCCTTGACACGCCAGTTAGTCGTGCGTTGAGCTCATGCGCCAGGGAACAGAGAAGCTGCCAGCTCTTTCAGGCCCGGGGTTTGCAAAAAAGGAAGTAGTTTGAGGAATACTACATGGCTCAGGCCCGAGTCGAACGGGCGGCTTCTGCATACGACGTTCTGGTATCTTTGGCAATCATCACAGAGGCGGACCGCCCGCCACCGAGCCAGTACAAGGGTCGTTTGGAAGCGCGCGTGCATGCGAAATTTGAACCGAAAGGTGATGACATCATGAGAGTCGGAAGCAAGCCGTGTTTGTTTGTCCAAGTTGTCGCCTTTGCACAACATGCACAAACTTGCGGCTTGCTTCCTGCTTCCACCGCGTTGTGTCATCTGGATCCCTGGCGCCCATCTCAACGCATCCGCACCCGGGCGCCCGTTGCTGTTGTTTGATGGCCAAGACAATCGCGGACGAGGCGTGGAGGCACTGGGCAAGGCCAACTTGAAGCAGCGAGCGTGGACGGGTTTTGAGGGCGTCGCAGAGCCCGTTTTTGTATTCATGGTGCGTGCTTTGCTCCTGTCCCCTTCTCATTTCTGCCCCAAACCTTTCTTCCCTGTCCTTTCCGTCCCCGTTCTTCCCAGAGATTTGCTGTATCCGATACTCGCGTTCTCCTCAGAACAATAATAGTCCGCACCTCTTTCTCCATGGGCGAGCTTCACTTCCGTCTAGAACTATATCAGTCTTAGCCTACGCCGCCTCCTCCTCCGTCTTCTTTACCCAGGTCTCGCACCACCACCGACTGTCTCGCACCACCGACGACCCCCCGCCGCTCCTTCTCGTCCCGTCGCTGAGCCGCTCCTCCTCGTCCCTTCGTCGACCTGGCTGCCGCTGCATTCTCGTGATACTCCTACGTCCTCACCCTCAAGATTTTCAAGATGTGGTCGATAGATGCCCATATTCCTCCTCTCGCTGCAGCTACTACCACTATCTCCGACCGTACTGATGTTCTCCCGTGATCATTTCGACTTCTTGACGGCTGAATTGGAATGAAATCTGCTACCCTATCTCCGTCGGACCGTACTAATGTTCTCTCGTGATCATTTCGACTTTCTGACGACTGAATTGGAATAACTTCACTGTCCACTTTGGCTATGTTCGCCTCGGGATAAACGTGGCGTGCGACCGGTTACTGCGTCTGCAAAACGCGATCAGCTGCAATCACGCCCACTCCGTTGTGCGAAATCCAAATCTTGTGCATGCTCCATCCTCCCTGTCAAGCGCTTTTTTTTGAATCCCGATTAGTGTACACTGAAGCCGAACAAAAGGCGACCGCTCGTGTACACACGTCCTCGCGTGGAGTCGAACCACCGCCTCCGCATGCTAATCGCCGCTCGCGTTTCCATCGGGTGGGAATGAGCGTCCGTGCTCTACGACGACTTCGAAAATGTCTACGTCGCTCCTTTCTTCATCAGTCTTCAATGATCTTGCGATACATCGTCTTCGGTCTTCAAGTATACGTGCCTTCTCAAACACTCAACCGCGGCCGGTGCTTCCTTCTTTGTAGGCGTGGGTGTTTTCAATACTCAATACTTCAAGTTGTCGCCCATCCTCTCCTCGTTGATTCTTGTTGTGTCGCTGACTCGTCGAAACACCCTCCCGGCGCCTTTCAGACTGTCTCTCCGGGATTGCCTTTCTGCTAACCCCACCCTTCAGAGTCTTTACACGACTCGCATAGCGCATCACTAGCGCATCGCACCTTCCGCCCGATCCTTTCCGCTCGCCCGCCCGCATCCTGGACCCTGAGCTCGTCGGAACACCGGGAACCCCTCCCGCTATATGGTTTTACGACTGTACCGCCGTACCGCATATTATTTAGTGGCAAACGCCGCCGTATCTATTCAGATTAATTTGTCCTCCGTTACTTCAGTTTCAGCCGCTGACTCGAGCACTGACTTCTTACCGTCTGGATTTGAATTAGATCTGGGTTGAATTTAATTGCATCTCGCCGTGCGGAAATCAAGCCATCGTTCATCCCTTGCCTTGCCATATGTACCATTTCTGCATCCCCGGGATTCGTCAATACTTACGTGCCCAAGCAATCGTCTACATGGGGCGGTGGACACAGAGCTTGTGTTGGCACGAGAACCAAAAAATCGAAACGGTCACTGCGCCAAGTCCTGGGGTGGATTCGAACCACCGTCTCCCCTGACATTCCAAGAGACCCTTCTTTACATTCGGTGGGGGTGAGCTTCCGTGCTCCACCAGGACTTGCAGGATGGCGGATAGGTACCCACTTATGTAAGTTAAGTAAATCAGCGAGGTGCTAGTTTCGCCGCTACAAGTACGTCCCCAACTCGTCCCTAAGCTTTGGGAAAGAACAAAAATAAAGTCCCGTCCTGCTTTTATACGTCCTTGGGTGGATTCGAACCACCTCTAACGAGACTGGAGTCCAAATTCAAATTGCGAGATGATTTGGTGAGTGAGCAGCCTTGCTCTACGGGGACACATTGAGTATAGGTGGAGAAAGGACCCAGGGAACTGAGTCGTCGGGAGGGTGGATTCCTGTCTGGATTTTCTCGACCGGCCTTATCCAAAAGGAGAATCAAAATAAAGCTTCTAAGGACGAACTATCGTGAAAAGAGAACTACAGTTGAAAAAAGCGTAGCGGAATCGAAGCAAATCCTCAGGCGGAACCGAACCGCCGACTGTCCCGCAAACCTGTGACGACCATAAATTGCGTGAGACTGAGTTTCGTACTCCATGAGGACTCCTCTGTTGTTCTTCCACGCTCGAGAGGTACGCAACAGATTTGAGCCAAAGTACAAGTTCCGGGAGAGTTCAAATTTGTGAGCAGGAAATTGCGGATCGTATCAGCCTGAGGGACTCCAGACTTGGGAGGGGCGCACCCAGATGTTCTTTATGCGAGAATAAGGAGGACGCAACAATCAACAAGACGGGGTAGAGAAACCAAACCAAATCAATTCCACCATTTGAGTGCTACGTACGTTCAGCGATCAAGCACCGTCCTACCACTTGCATAACTCTGAGCAACTTGACTCGTCCACGCACGCAACTCGTCCTGGGTCGTCGGCGCATCGTCCGAAGCGTGGAACCGCGCCGCCGCCACTGCACGTTCCGCCTCCTCGCGGTTGGCCTCCCACTCGGCCTCGTCCGCGGCCGCCTGCATATTCGCATCATGCTCCTGCTGTCGCTGGGCCCGCTCGGAGGGCGTGGGCGACGGCGAGCGCGCGCGCGCGCGGCTGGTGGTGCGGACCCAATCTACCCAAGGAAAAGCCCGGATGAGGGCTGGCGTAGGCGTCGTCGTGGTGGCGTGAGCCGTGGTGGCGGCGGAGGCGGAGGCGGGCGGATTCGCAGAGGAATCCTCGACACGCGTTATGCGTTTGCGGTTCCGCGGCCGGGGCGGAAGGGGCGGGGACACCGCGTCTGCGAGGAAGGTGTACATTATGGGACACCCTGTGGTCTTGACATGTCCCTCGCAGCGGGTAGTGAGCGAACCGAGTGTGTTTCCGCTGTGAAACGAGAGCGTACTTATTAAGTGAACTGAATAGGAGTATGGGAGTAATACTGTGTCATAATTAGTGTCCAAAATGTATGGCACATATACTGTCCAGAAAATAAAATGGCACGCAACCTCGTCAAAATCCTCCAAAAAAACTCAAGTTCAACCAAGATTGCCTGAATATACACAGCTCGCATCAATTCGCCGCGAAATATGCACAAGCTCAACACAGTGTCAACTGCAAGACACAACTGTGAAATGTGGCTGCAGAAGAAAACACAGCTCCTGCGGAAGACCCAAAGGATATGTGGCTCATGTGTTCATATAAAATAACACAACCTTCAAGCTACCTAAATGCACTCCAGGGTCATGGCCTGTTTTGGGCAAATTTGTGATGCCAACTGAAGGGCGCGGGGGTCCTGGCACTCCGTGAGACATACATGCTCAGGAGTATGGCTAGCCGGGTTGGTGAATCTTGCACATATTGAGGAGGTATTTACACTCCGATTATGAGTGCAAAGTAGTACATGAACCAAATCCAGACCAAAATCGAACCATGATCGAAGTGAACAAAATTCTATGTGATGACCTGAGCCTCTCTATCTTGATCGAGTTTGTAGTTTTGGATCCGGCTTTTGAGCTATGTAGCTGTCACGCCGGCTGAGGCTAGCAGGAATGTGCAGCGTTTATGAGTCGACCAATTTGAGACTGAACATCCATCGATATTTGATCGCATCATCACGAACTTTGTCACGTCGAACTGCTGGTTCCGGTTTGGTTGCAACACAAGACTTGGACGTGTCATACACTTTGAAAAGCGTCTCTTATGGTCCCAGAAAGAAAGCATACATCGCATGCTCGCCGAATAATATCCCAGATGATGTGTTAATAATTACGGAGGAGAGGATGATTTGAATTCAAAGTCCGATGAGTTGGACCTGTACCTATGGCCGACTTGCCCAAGTCCAAGTTGTGTCTTTTTTGTTTCAAAGACATGACACGCGTTTGAGATGGCAGAACACAAGCGGTGACATTTTGTTGGGATCAACACATATGCATAAATTTCCAAACATTCTCAACCGGTGGTGTTTTTCTGGTGCCTGATTCTTGGTTGTGTTTTTCTGAACCAGGTGTGCGGTTTTTTCAACGTTGGAACAATGAATTATTGGACAGTATATGCCCCATAAAAATGCACCGCCTGCTACGCAAAGACACACACCTTGAATGACCAGTCCCAGAAAAAAAAACACACCCCTCAAAGTACGAAAATACATGCGCACCCTATATTACTATTATTAGGTGTCAGAAACGGGGAGGCGGGGAGGCGCAGAGGGAATCAAGCACTCAAAGGACTGGGACGACGTTAGGGCAAAGGTGAGGTGTATTCACTAGCTACATACCTGGGACGACGTTAGGGCAAAGGTGAAAACCTTTGCCCCGTCGTCCCTGGCTATATACATGTGATACGCGAGCTCTAAACTACGCGAAGAGTCACCTATTCCAACACACCCCCATGACGAGGCGCGTCTAAGAGCTCAGCCCGAGTAAGCCAACCATCACATCGACCTTTGCGCGACCCATTGCTTTCGTAAGGATGTCCGCGGGCATCTTATCTGTCCGTAGATGAGCCACTGCAATCCTCCCCTTGTACACCTCGTCACGAAGCCAGTAGAACCTCAAATCGAGGTGCTTCACCCGCCCGTGATGTTCTGGGTCCCTCGCGACAGCGAGTGCCGACTCGTTGTCAATGTGCAGTGTTGATGGACCAGTGAACGTATAGCCCAGCTCCGTGAACAGATTTCTTAGCCAGAGGATCTCTTGTCCAGCTGAAACCGCAGAGACAAACTCGGCTTCCGTCGTGGAGAGCGTGACAATTCCTTGCAGCCGACTCGACCAGCTTACAGCGCCACCAGCCATTAAGACCACATAGCCACTGGTGGAGCGACCGTTGTCCGGATTGCCGCCATGGTCCGCATCAGAGAAGGTTTGGAAGAGGTTGGAGGGAGACAAGATGGGTTTGGGGGGACGCCTGTATGTGATCTTGTAGTCAATTGTTCCTTTGACGTAGCGGAGAACTCGCTTGGCAGCCTTCCAATGCGCTGGCCCGGGATTGCTGGAGAAACGGGCGAGTACACTGACAGCATATGCTAAATCAAGACGCGTCGCGATTGCGAGGTATGCGAGAGCTCCGACGACATTGATGTACGGGATGGTGCGCATCTCGACGGCTTCCTCGTAGCTCTTCGGGGACTGGGCCTTTGAAAGCTTGGCTCCGGGATCAAGTGGGGTTGCGACCGTGTCACAATCTGACATGCCGAAACGTTCGAGGATGTCGAGGCAATATTGGCGCTGGGAGAGGGTAACGGTTCCACGCCCGAGATCTTGCTTGATTTCGACCCCGAGCAGCCAAGAAGTTGGCCCAAGTTCCCGCAGCTTGAAGTGCTTCTTCAGCTCAACGATAATCTCGTCGATACGGTCCCTGGACTTGGCCGCGATGGTCATGTCATCGACGTAAACAGGGACAATTACCCGATCCTCTCCTCGTCCGTACACCCACACACTGTGCTCGCAGGTCACCCGACAGAAGCCCATGCTGGTCAGGGCCTTATGCAGGGTTTGCAACCAGACCCTACCGGCCTGCTTCAGCCCGTAGAGAGACTTCTGCAGCCGCAATACCCAGTCGGGCCCGTTTCGCACGAAACCCTCGGGCTGTTTCATGTAGATCTCCTCCTTGAGGTCCCCGTGCAAGAAAGCATTGGATATGTCGACGCTATACAGGATCAAATCTTCGATGGCAGCGAGCGCGAGGATCGAGCGGAGGGAAGCCCATTTGGGTGTAGGTGCGAATGTCTCGTTGTATTCAAAACCTGGGCGCTGACCACAGCCTTGCGCCACAAGACGGGCTTTATATCGCTCGATGGAGCCGTCCGCGTTCCTCTTGACCTTGAAGACCCATCGGGATCCTATGGCTCGGCGTCCTGGAGGGAGCTCGACAAGCTCGAAAGTTCCATTTAATACAAGCGCGTCAATTTCCTCAAGCGCAGCCTTGTGCCAATGCATCCGCTCTTCGGGTGCTCGCCGCATGGCTTCAGCATAGGTACGAGGCTCCAAGAATCTATATGAAGTTTGATTAATCCGGTTAATCAAACAGATCCGTAGTTTCAGTAGAAACAAGGAATGATCAACTCCAGTGAAATCTATGTTGAACGATGTCAAGCGTATATAGCAACCTATTAATCACCGAACTACTAACCTACGCACCCTTGGTTAGCACACCACTTAGACATAGACATACACATCTATGGTGGTTCCGCATTGGACAATGGTTCCTGTCGCCTGCGGCCATTGTCTCTGTAGTGTAGTGGTTGATATCTGTGCTGGACGTACACTACTTACGGTCTTGAGTTCGAATTCGGGCTGTGCATCTTTTTGAGCGTGCACCTCCCTGTTCAATCCGTGTTCAATCCCTGTCTGAACAAACACTGCTCAAACCTGATTTTCTGTTGAGACAGCTATTGATTAATCAAACTTCATATGGTTACTGCGCTTAGAGTACAGCAGCTCACCTGGACCCCTCACCAATTTCTGATTGTCATTTTTCTTTTGAGGGAGCCGGTGGTTCGACTCCACCCGCGGCCGTCCCATATCATCCTCTTTCCTCAACACATAATCATCCGCTCACTGTGATAGATGCACACCCAGTTCTTGCACTCTTGCTCTCAACAGCCGAAGACGGGTGTAAGTCCGC